TTGATTTAACAATGATATTAAGTGTATTAGTTTCCATTTGTACTGTATAAATCTAAAAGACATAATATGGCTGTAAAAAGCATTGTACCTCACCGTGTGCGTCAATGATCCCATTTCGATCAGATTTTTCTTTCGGTTTCCTTGATGGATGTACACATGTATGTACTTGGCACAACAGCCCTAAGCGAGCTAAGGCCTACGGACCGTCCCGGACTTGCGGCCTTGGGTTAAGGCAGGCCTCCTGTAGCATTCTGCCCTTTGACTGTCCTCGGAGCCGCGCGAGCAACTCGAGTGCAAACCCAGGCCGCGTGGAAGGGTAGGGATTAGACTCATGCTAGGAGTGGGGGACCGCCAACAGGAATGCGCAATTCGAGCCGCAGCTCGTAAATTGAAAGAGCAATTGCGAGAGTGGACGAACTGTTACACACAGTTCAAGTATCACTGCATTTATTTTGGAAATGTTTCTTGTTAATTTATGACAATGTTCTCAATGAATCTAAACGAATTAGACACGTATATTTGATTTGGATACCTTCAGTATTATAGTTGCTTGTACGGCAGAAAATGCAATTCGCTTTGCTACAATGTAATCGCAAATTTCGTATGCTGCTAAATACAAAATTGTAATATTTCATCTTTTTTGTTTGATGATGACAGTAATAAATTATTTTTTCTTTATCTAACTTTAATTAAAAAAAGACGATTTTATTGAAGCTAAAAACAATTTTTCTTAAAAAATCAGGATTACTTTGCTGTAATTCTCTAATTTCCGACAAGAGTCTATTATATATTTCTAACTTCAAATCAGCGAATACTATTTATTCATAATTACTAATATGGTATAAAAATATTAAGCTCTTTTGTTTCTATTTAATAAGATTCAGAATAATTTCAGGTTTACCCATTAAATATCGTAAAAGAGGTTTCGTTGGTACCTCTTATTCAGCATAATGAGGGAAAACGGTCCCAAATATATGATACCAAAAATTCCCCGTAATGCCTGTATTTTATTTTTATAACAACCTCGATATAAGAGACTGCTTTCAATTTCCTCCGTTGTGTTATCATTTGAAGATTATAACATTCTTGGTGAAAAATAAATGATTAAATTTTAATTTTTGTTAGTTAAAATTACATAATATATTTTTAAAAGAGTCCGCAGCTTTACAATGTTGTTTATGAGTTCTAATGCCCTGGGGAAAATGGAAAAATTACACCAATATACGCGAGATGTTCGAGCAAACGTATACAGGATGCGCACAGAGTCTGATCTCCAATGTACGGGATGTACACAAGATCTTGCCTCGATATTAATTTTGTGAACCATATGAGTACTTTGGAAATGTTTGTTGTTGCAAATGAATGTACGCTTGAGTGCGAACTGGAATGTACTTGATGTGCTGACGATGGAATCTAAAGAGCGTGTACACGATGTGCACAACGCGTACCGTAGCCAATCGACGTAACCTAATCTAACCTAAAATATTTACAATGGAAAAAGTCCCAGTAGAAAATCTTCCATAATTCTGCCTAAATTTTCGTCCGGAAAAATTACTAATGAGAACCGAATGTTTCTCAGTTATAAATTTTATGCTACAGTTTAATCAGAATTGCGCAAAAGATTTACCACTGAGACTTCGCGGGAAGGATTCACTGGTTACATGTTGAATAAAGTACATTCAAATATGATATATCATGGAAGATGTTATAGAATTAGTACATGTTTGACCCTCAAAAAATAGCATTCACTCAATGGAAATGAACAGACACATTTTTGTGCACGAATTTTAGTATCTGGTCATGAACTCATTCTTAGAAATTGATTGTTTTACTGGTAGATGGGAACAGAAGTATGTTTTGCTCGTAAACGGATTCCCTTGAATTAACTAAAGCCCTTCTATTTAACATTTCTTCTCGCAGGAGGGGTACGTTGAAAGAATGAAACAAAACACAAATTAAATTTAAAGAAAAACTTATTTATTAACTCTCATCGATATTCACAACCTCCTTGTCTGCTGCTCTGGGGCTGAAAAGGAAAGGTCTATTGAGTTAATATTCATCCATCGTTACGATTTCTTATTTGCAGCGAGCTACGATGGATTGGATTGTAATACTATTCAATTTTATTTATTTGCTACTAACAGAAAGTACAATAGAGCAATGCTATTAGAAAATGAACCAAATTCACAAAAAAGTTAGGAAATCTGAAATAAAAATGAGTTTGTATGTTTTTTTGTTTTTGTTTTTTGAGAAAGAGCATATGGATTTTGGGGAACTGAAGTAACTCCTTTTTCTCAAAAAATTGACTAAAGACCAAGTATCAGTGATCAGTGATTAGCCTACAATATAATCAAAGAAGAAATTACAACTCGGTGGAGCAGGAAGATGCCACTTCTGATTTTGCTGCGGACAGTATTGCGCTGGCCACCCAAGTCCGTAGCCTTCCCATATAGTAGGTCCAACACTCTATTAAGGACACCCTTGGTTCAAGGGGGGTTTGTACCCCAAACGCTCCAAATACTGTGAGTAATGACCAATAAATGTAACATTTTGTTTATAAATTCATTAACTTTCTCACAATAAAAAAATGTTTCTACACAACCACAAAAAATTAAACAAAACTCAGATCGAGATAGTTACTTGTGTGTGAGAAAGCACAATTTTTTTGTTGACGTAGATGATGAATCACGACTATTTGTTCTCCCTAAGGAAACTTATGAACAGTGTCGTAAAAATATTTCAAAGGAACACTTGAATTTATGCATTTAGTTTGTGAATACAGGGTCCCCTTATCTGAATCATGAATTGTTTCTTCTGAAGTCTCTTTCAATAACAAATTGCCGGAAATGAAACGCCTCACATTTGGAGACGTTTGTAAGTGGTCAAAATTGAGCGACGTTTCCAAAATCCGTGATTTTGCGTCCCCAGGAAGTCAGTAACAATCGCTTTGAAAGAAGCTGCTGTTTCGACCATAGTATTATCAAAGACTGCATTTTAAAATATCTTTCTGATCTGTGGAACAACAAATATAACTTATTTCAGCTTTACTCCTCTTACTTTAAGGTATCTGTGTTTCAAACCACTTACCTTTTAAACCTGACCATCAGGAAATTTTTACAATGCCCAAATTGATGATAAGCGGGAGCAATATAATTTTACTTCTTTCAAGAAATATTTTCATTTTCTTTCCCCGATTGCAAATGATTATCTTTTAGGCCAATCGTTTATTTTATAAAATTTGTACAATTTTGTTCTTAGTATCTGAACTGTATCACATGCACAAAAAACTGCAGTATCTCATGAAGCTGAAAGAGGAGGCTGTATCAATTTAATAACACTTAAGGAAAGCACAACTGTTAAATCACAACAGTTTATTACTATTCATGACCGTATTTTATCGCCTTTAGCAGGAAAGACATGCTTTCATAAGTTTCTTCACATACACTGAACAAACCACACGCACTACTGGAAAAGTACTGTTATTACGTAGTAGTACTTCTTTGAAGGAAGTTTTACTGAAGTCCATAAATAGTCGCCACTCTAGTGGATTATGTTGTACAGCTAAACGTTGCAACGAATCATTGATTTCTCTACATGCACACATGGAATTCTGCATGTCAAAATATTGAACGAAAACCCATCTTGATCCAAACTGGAAAATGTTTGTTCCTGGAGTTATTCCATTACAGCAATCACGATCCCAGGCATTCAGATGGCTGTTTTGAAAGCATTGCACTTCTTTCCCTGAGTACGTCACACAGTTTTTAACTGATTTTTAATGTTAAATAAATCAGTGATTTAAATTGCAGAACAAATCCTTCTATTTTTTTTTCTCTTAAATGAGATTGAAGGTAGAATCCCTGTTCGGATTCACAATTTTTAATTGATTAGGTGATGAGTCTGATGTATTGTCGTGCAAATGAATGCAGACACATTCAATTCTTGACCACAGGACACAGGCAGATGGACTGAAGAGACATTTAGATAATTTATTTCGTGTCTCGCTTTACTTGCAAACCCTTCAACTTTTGTGAGACTGAAACATCTGAATTACGGTTTGTTGGCACAAATTACTCCATTAGAACAACGAATGTCATGGGTCGGTGATTTCCTTTCAATCATTCGGTTACAGTAGTAATTCAGATTATGTAGGCATCATGATGAGCAATGGTTATCTTTCTCACATAGTGCACAATGAAAATGTAGATTACATGCTTTCTTAACTAAAATAGAGAATGACGTTTTTTGAAATTTTAGAGTGAATTTTCCGTATACGAAACAAAATTGTGCTATACCCGTTGCCGTTATCAATGGAACACACTAATTGCCATTTTTACCAACTTCTAAACATCACCAGAACATGAAAATGCAAATGAACACATACTAAGATAACATTCACAATGCACTGTTTAACGTGATTCAATTGCATCATTGTGTTTCAACATGTGTTACACAATGAAGCCTCTTTTGGAGAACACCTCGCTAGCTTGATTATTTTTTTATTAAATCCAACCACTGTCATACTTCTTTATTTTACACACAATAGCAAACAAGCACACAATTAAAACATCAAAATCAAAGCACAGAATAACTTAAAATAAAATAAAGTATTAAAAAAATTTTAATTTTAAAAACCTTACGTACTGGCAAATTTTAAAAGACAGATGCAGATTCCACGGCCAAAACTAAAAACAAGTGAAAACATGGCACATACAAAAAGTGGTGATCAATTCATGTATGATATAATATTACTATTTTAAATACAGAGAAGCAAAATTACTTTAAGTTTGAGAACAAATCATTACTAGTAAACTTCAATGTCATGAAATATTAACATGTGAGACAGAACTAAATCTTAATAATAAATTCAATTTATATATGTCTAGATGAATGACAAACTCTTCAGGCAAATCATGGGCGAAGAAGTGGAATGAGGAAATGTCCCATACACACCATTGATATTTCACTGAAAATGAAACATTTTTGTTTTGAATTGAGATAATTTATTTCCCAGAAAATAAAATATATGTACAAAAAATAGACACATACACAAGATAAGACTTTTTAAGTGTGAGTACTGTTCTCGGTGAGACAGAAGAAAACCTTTTTTTGCAAGAAATGTTAATGAGTTGTGTCAAAAATATATTACAACTTCTATCACTATAATCGGAAATCTGTAAACTGGAAAAAATAACAGTCTATTTCCTCTAATTTTACATTTAAGGAAACAATAGTTATTTTAATTCAATGCAAGAAAAAATTGCTACATCACTTTCAATAGCATTACATTATTGTTCATAAAATTTGTAAGATTTAACATGCAATTATTGCGCCCAAATTGCACAAATATAATCAATATATTGGAGGGATTCACTTGTACATTACGGAATTTCAAGTAGATTTGTTGTTTGTTTGTTTTTGTTTTTTTGCAAAAGAATCAGTTATTTTTACTCTTTTGGAGTTCTTTTTGAGGCTGATTAAATCTGTTTACATGTGAGAACGAGTTTTTTAAGTAATACAATAACCATTTCGAAATTAACAATTTATATACATATGCTTATAAAACGATAATGTTCATTATTGCATTTTGTAATAACGTCCCACTACCCATTTCCTACTGAAAATTCAGTATACAAAAACGCATTTCTGAACTCTCTTTCTAATTCACCGATTCTCAGTTTTCTACAAACAGTTTTGTACATCAATTGCCAAATTTTGAGTTGGTTGTATTTTGTACGTATCTGTGCATAGTTAATGAAATATGAATGTCCAGAATTGTTTTTGTATAACACACTAATGGAATGTATAGAATAAATCTAAAATCATCAATACAAGCTTCTAAAATCTGTTTGAATTTCAAGTCAAAATAACAAACTCCATGTTTAAGCCCACAGCATGTGATAAAATATTAAAATCTAATATCTACAAACACAAGCATTTCTCTACATTGTACTTCAAAATGAGTCATTCCTCCTCTTGTTATAATGGAATGTCATGAAATGAAGGTGATGAACTACTTTAAATGTAAATGTTATAATCAGTAAGACTAGTATCGACACTTTCCATAAAGGAATGTCTTGGAAGCGCATATGTATTGGTTTTCTACTGCGTTACCAGAACATCATGTATCATGATGTCAAGTAACACCTTGATACAATTATGTTGTTTTATTTCAAGAAAATGTCCTTGTAATAGTTCGGTAAACAGTTGTTATAAATTCTTGAAAACTAATATAAATAAGCATATAGATTAGCAACAGTTCAAGTTCACACTTCTCATGGAAGTAATAGTATATATGTACCATTATTGCAGACACTTAAAGAATCAAAACGTCACAGATATAGAAGGAAATGAGATCACATTTCATATTACACATCTAAAACTACATTACATTATGTAGAGTGAAATAAGTCTAATAATTGTTCTTCCTTTTTTTAAAACCTATTAATTACATTTTAAATGTTCTTATGTTGATTGTTAAGGCACTTTCATCACAATATTTCGTGCAGGTATGGTGAAATGTTTTTCTGGTTCCACGCAAATATTTCGCTGTCAGGATCTTATTCCTGCATTTATCTTTTCCATTAAGCGGCATATCGACTAAATACTGATAATTTCACAAATAAGTTCATAGGAATGTATTGATACAAGTCACCGCAATGATCATCTTCCATTGAGTACATAACTCGGCAAGTCCCAAAAAAATGTTCACGTAAATATTTACACGCTAATTGAATCTTCCATTAGTTCATTTTACTGACACTTGCAATGAAATAAATGTTTGAAATACACTACTTACAAGGAAGAATTAACCCAACTTGATCAGCAGGAACATGCAGAAAAGGCACACTGTATATTCTCGTAGCACTATTATTGAACCTCACGTATATGGTGAAGAAACGTAGTTTATGTATACCAATGCAAGTGTACGTAAGTAAAAGAGTTCTTTCACTTAATTAACTAATATACGTTCGAACAGAACGCATCCTTTTAAATCAGTTTTAACCTTTTAGGAAATGTTTCATTACATCGTGGAAGACACGATTTTTTCTTTGCTAATCGACGTTTATCTATCACAAGTTGAAGATGACGCACTGAGTAATTAATTGGAAGTACTAACATCTTGAGAATCTGACTGTTGAGATTGAAAGTTGCACTTCACTTCAACACATCAAATATTTGTTCCTTGAAGATAAATAAAGGATCCTCTGAAGCAGTGACATCACCTGAAAACAATACAAAAATAGTTAGAAAACAATACTTAATAAAAACAAGCATACATCGCCCTGTCAAATAGCCGACAAAGACGAGCTAAATGATTCATTGCTCGTAAAAACGCTTCATGCACCAAGCGGCGTGTGACATACTTTAAAAATCAAAGAAGGCGTATTACCTCACGACTTCATTACATGGAGGTCAAGAGACATTAAATAAATTTCATTCACGTGACGCTCGAACAGACACGTGAACAGGACGAATGTCCAGGGAGATTTGAAGCAGAAATTTCACCTGGGATGTGAGAATCCCACACTGCTGGAGTGGAAAGGCAATCAGGGGCTAACGACACCCATTCACCCAAAATATCGTATTTCCAATTCATTCTTAAATTCGACAATCATTTCTCAAACACTTTTTAATTATTTTTGCAGAACTAGGGGAAGAATCTGTTTATTTTAGCACGCAAATTTACAATGTACTGCGTTGACAAACTAAAAAAATGCGACGGAAAGAACACTGTTTCGAAAGTTGCCAATGAAGTTCGTTTATTTGTGTTAAATATTGTACAGAAATCTGAGATGAAATGTGAAAATAGTATGGGATGTGTTACAATGTAGACTACAGGAAACGACGAAAATATTACGGAAATAGAGGTTACTTACCTAGAACTTGTTTATTAGTTTAGAAGTTTTTGTTAATGAGTTTATCAGTAATTTTGTCATGACATCACAAAATAGATGTTTTAAAAATAAGACACACTAATGCAAATGGCATTTTAAAACTTTACACTGAAATAAACTTCTTTTCTGTTAAAAGAATTCTAATAAAATAGTTTGAATTTAATTGATACGATATTTTCCATATATTTTAGTATACAAATAGTTTTGTTAAATAATGTTTCATTTTTTAATTTATTTCTTTTATTTATTTATTTGTTTGTTTATCTTGCTTTTTCTGCTTATCAGTCGTATCGTATCTATAGCAAAGAACCAGAAAGTGCGTTGTCAGGAAAAATTATTCATACATGCTTATGCTTATGTTTTAATAAATTTTTAAAAAATTTGACCGTTTTTACACACTAATATGTTTTCATGAATAAATGATTTAAAGACTCACTTTGTGTTTTTTTAAGGAATTCGATAATTAACATAAAAAATATTCAAAATGAAATGTCCTGCAATATGATTATTAAATTATATGACTTCAACACGGCTGTTTCAAATTTCTTATAGTTTTTATAAGTATTTCCAAAGAAACACCAATAAGAGACTATTCTACAGACAGCAATGGATTTTTGGAACAGATTTTGTGGAAATTTTATTTCAAATTTTAATTCGGCTTCAGGAATCTCCCCCAAGTGGGGCAACGGCCAGGCGGGGAAGCCATAAGCCCCCATCTGGTCTCTCGAAGTGCGTGACAGTTGAGTAAATGTACGTGCAAGTGTATGTGAGTGCATGTAAAAGGAGGGGAGAGACGGAGGAAGGAAGATGGCAATGTCCGTGTACCGTTAGTAAAGGTACTGCAGCGATATTCGCCTGATAGACTACCGATGAGAGCAACGAGTCGCTAGAATTGAATCCACCTGGGTTAATGTGAGTTAATATGCGAAGAGCACCTCCATTATCTAGACACCCTCCGAGAAATCTGAGAAGATCCCAAAGAAAAAGAGAGTATGTATCCCATTAAGGAAATTGCCACATTAATCAGGAGCGTTCCTGGAAGGTTGGTAGCGGTTATCATTGACATAGTAGGCGCTAATACACCTTACTCGAAATTAAAGTGTCACTGTAGAATCGTAATAAAACTGAAATAAATAAACGTTCTTAAAACCAAACCCGATTTCAATATTGAAAAGAAGTTTTATATTTATTCTTTAAATATAAAAAAAGTAGAAAAATAATTATTTGCATTCTATTCATTACTAGACGTCACACATGTCACGTTCTGTAAGTTTGAAGCACGAGGGAAAGTACCAAATTTTATTTTTTTAAATTGTTTGCTTGACGTGCCTACTACTCAGACTGTCCCCTACAGGTGTCTTAACTCTTAACCATATTTCTTGAGATTTACGTGTTTTTTTAGCAGCTGAATGGAAGTGTGGCGTCTTTCGAGGGTGATTGTATTCAGGTATTCTCTCCCAGGGTGCGCGCACACGGCGGCAACTACCTGGTCGCCAGACGTCCGAGAAGAAACAGTTCCTTGCGTAAGCTATTGTCGCCATCCGTCGTACGCCAGGAGCCTGTTAGGCTCACGCTAATTGGAACGGAGTGTCAGGGGGCACTTGGCACCCACCCTTCGCTGCGTCCACGCACAGGTGTGAGGCGCGTGGAGAGCGGCTGGAACGCGTGCCTGCGCTGCTTAAGGAAAAAAGGTAAAACCGCAGCGTGTCGCAAGGCCTTGATTAAGAGTGCAGGATGTGGAGCGGTCGCACACACTCTGTATGAATTCCTATTTTACGTCTTCGCACCTTCCGCTACTTATAGATGTCTTCCTCCCAGCTGAGACACTTTCATCCAGATGCGGTCCCCAATAATTTCCCCAACCATCTCTCCGATGTGGCCTGTGAGCCCTTATTGGTCATATTGGATAAGCGTAACAAGTAGTCCATCGCCCTAGACCATGAAGAGCGTTCCATTCCAAAGAGTACACACACACAAACACATATATCGGGGGATCTACACTACTACATAAATCGGGAGATCACTGGGGAGGGGGGTAAGGGCGTGTCTCCGCTGAGGCGGAGTCCCGCTGCAGGAGATACCTAGAGGAAGAATTACCCTCACAATCTGACGTGTAAGCCGGTGCTGGATTTCACCATCCAGCTGGGACGAAACACCGCCACGCCAAGCATAAAAACATTCACTACACTAATAGGACTAAGAACAATAGCAATAGGCGAGCTTGTATATATCAATCAATAAATACAGTGATGGAAAGATAAGAATGGGATGAGATGTGTGATGTGGTGTCATAGGGTGGTTTGAAGTGGCTTCAAGATGGGTTACCAGATGAAAAACAAGTGCTAACAATAAAAATGTTTAAAAAAAATCAAGTTTATATCGTTTGATCTGCAAACAAACCCGACTAGTTCATTGTTATACAAGCGATCCCACGGATATGTCCACAAGTATTAGGAGATTCCGATGAGCACACACAATCCTACCGTGCACAAGCGCGCTATCGACTCGAGTACAACGACACACACGGCGGGTAAAATTAGCCGAGCAAACTCCTGAAGACGGTGTTTCTGAGTGCAGAGTGGCACGTAGCGCTAATTGCAGACCGGTGCTCCAGGCCGTACGCTCAAGCAGCACTTAGCAAATACTCGGCCACAACGCGGCGCGAAGGCACGTCTACACCAAGGAGAACCCTGGCCACACAGTGAGCCAGTGGGTCGAAACACGGGGCGCAAATTTAACCCTGCGCACGGACACACCACACACACTTTTTTGTTGCACAGACTACAACCTAGAGATGTAGGACTTGAAGAATATGGTTCAAAGGTGAGACATTTGATCGAATGATTGAATATTCCTTCACAGCGAATCTTCCCCCCTTTGATGACGAGATCCGGCGTTGATCTATGCATAGGATAGCGAGGTCTTCCCCAACCAGGCATCTCCCACAAGCAGGACACCCGCCCCAGCCGAAACAAGCTCTAAGCTCCCGACATGTGTAGAAGTGTTGTAGATGTATGTGTGTGCGCATGTATTTCGTGGTGTTCATCGGAAACACCACGAAAAACTACATTTCAGAGCAGCTGGCTGCTAGAATTCTCCTCCTGACGGCTGAATTCGGCCTAGCCTTCTAGCTAGTGTCAAATATCCTGGAGCGCCGAGACACGAACCCTCGTACCTCCCCGTCAGAGACACTGCATTGTCATCAGTTAATGCCCTGAGCCACCTAAGCCAATTTAACCTTACACATACACACTTTTACGTTCCACAGTCTACGCTCTGGAGACTCTGAAGTTTCAGAAAAATGTTTCAATTTTGAAATATCTGAAAAAGTCCTACTGTTTTTAAAATAAATTTGCACCGTTCTCAAATGTTACATTTATGTATTTGATCAGATGTTACTGATACAAGAGTAACTGTTATTCCCGAAAAAACCGTACTTGAATGTACAGAATTGCGTGAGTGACATTCTGCTTGCAGCGTTAAGGAGGCAGGTAACACAAACGTGTATGCATTTTCCTGTTGTTGTTTTTTTAATTTTCATCATCAGCACATTTTATAACCCACAGATGTTCCACATACAAGACATATTAACACTGCGCGACACTATTACACACAGGACATAATTACACTGTGCTAAGCAAGAAAAGCATTTTTCCGTGATACAGTATGTAGGTTTAGAATTTAATAGTGCACGCGTAGTTGAGCAACCAACGGGAAAAAAAGAAAAAAAAACAGGTTACGACATATATGAAAAATATACCTGCGTATTCAGAGTACGTAATGTAATATAGTATTATAACGTTTCGTAAAATCGGATGTATCTGAATATCACATCAGTGAGATAAATAATTCCTTCCACCGGTTTTGAATGGTTCCTAATTCCTACAAAGTGACGCCAACAACAGAATTCTGTTAAATATTAAGTAACGTCACAGCCTTCCACGCGCTTCACCCAGCCAAGATAAATTGTTAAATATTATTCGCGACGAACCATATTCACGTATGCCGAATGAACTAAATGGAAATTATTTATGAAGCCAATACTTAGAAGTAGATGTATTAAATGCTAAGATGTCTTTGAGAGCCTAATTACTAGAAATTCTAGGATCTACTGGTTTAAAACATAAAATAGTACCAAATATTTCATTAGACATTTTAGAATTTTATTAGGGCAGATAATCCTCACCTCCCAATAATTATAAATAGTAAAACAATGTTTCATAAAATGCGGAAGTACATTTTTAGGACGCTTCGGGGTCGTTTGCCCCACTGCGCCGGGCAGCGGAGATCTCGTTTGAAGGGCCTCTTGACGTCCGAGATCTAAGTGGACGTGTAGTATAGTTATACAGCCCCAATTCATGCGTCGCGGGTGGGAGGGCAGGTTGTGCGGGAGGGGAGGGATGACTCAAGTGGCTGTTTTGCCGCGTGGGTGAGTGGGTGGAGGGCGCCTGTTCCCCAGTCTCCCTCCCCCCCACCCGCTTTGCCTGCTTTAGTATAGTCGCTGCTGTTACGTGAGCGATTATTGGGACAGTCATACCGGCAGAGGTGACCCATGGCATTAACTGATGTCATTGAAGCACCTCTGACCAGGAGGTCTTACAATGCCAGTCCGAACGGTGGCAGGACTTTCGACACTCACAAACTCGAATTCAGCCGCTGTCTGGAGGAGAATTCTAGCGGCCAGCAGCTCTGATCGTTAATTTTCCGTGGTTTCTTCGATCAAATGACTTCAAATTAACTTTCCTCAAACCTAAAAAAAATTCTGCAAAAAGGAGCTTCAAATTTCGAATTTACAGTCGCGCTTAAACCCCGGATTTTTAAAAACGGCTCAAAATGTTTCAAAGAAAATTGCCATTTAGGACGAGGGTTTTTGTTCATTAATAATATCAAAATAATATTTCCGGTCTCCAATTTGGAAACCGAAAAATTGAAAAAAAAATCATAAAAATGTATTTGGGCGAGAACAGATGGCAGCAGGCAAGAATGTGTGTCAAGTTCGAATAGCTAACCGGGACCAAAAAAAATTGAAAACTACTACAGGAAAGTTTGTGTAATTCTGTAGCACCACTAGTTTACACTGACACTTTGGGGAAGGGGCTATTTACACCGTCTGGGTACCTTGTGAATGATTTTACAGAAACTCATGTCTAGTGTGTCGATTTACTGATTGTTTAATTGCAACTGTAATGTTATTCTCCTTGTAATATGTTTTATTTATTTACTACTAAAATATGCCATATGTAATAAAAAAGTTCAAAGGAACTAGAGAAACAAGAAATACATATTACCCCCTTATTCCATGTGTGCACGCCAAAGGCTTTCCGATTTGATTTGTATTATTTCTTACAGTTCTGGCGATATCGGAACGGACCAAATCACTGGTGTAAACTATCCCTAACCTCTATCTACACTCACTCAAGTGATAGTTACGAGACATTATCAACCTCATCTCATTCGGCTGACGGAAGAAAACATTTAACGGGGTGACGCGGCCTTCGGCAAGGCTCAACTGTTTTGAAACCAGTCAAAACGATCGTCCGCTGGCCTGAAACGAGACTATCGCCCGCACACACCGGCGAAAAGTGGCCCTCTGGAACCCGTGGTATATCACACGGTCGCTGCAGCTGCGAGTTAATGTGGATTTGAAACTCGCCTTCTAAGCCTATTAAGGATCTGGCGTGATTAACCCTCGGGAGATGAATCAAATAATTTTCGAGAATAGTTCACGTATCATGTCCCAAGATCCATCAAACTCGATCGGTAGGGTTTAAAAAAATGAAATCACAAAAGGTAGTCTTATCTTATCAACTCTACATGAAGTAGTTAATGATAATTTCTATAATAATTAATATTACAATTCGCATTTCATTATACATCATTAACTGAATAATATTACAGTTTACAGATAAAATATACCGGGTACTTTAACACAGTAATGTCATTATATTGCATTATATTGCAATGCGGTTAAAAGGATAATCAAGTTTATGCATGAAATAAAGTTAGCAACAAAATCCAATTTTCTTTCCATATCGGAAAAATGTTGCTATCGTGTAGAAACATATTTAGCACTTTATCCTGCATATCAATTTGAAATTCTGAGTCCTAGAAACAACAAAAAACTATACTAAATTCCAGAACTTCGTAACGCTCGCAAAGAGAATCCGGAAATCGAGTCATCACTGAAAAACGGGGCGAAATTACGGAGCAAAAAGGGAATTAATGAACGTTCCTCCTCGGTGCCCCAACATTCCTTAAGCTCCGTTCCAACAGCTGACAACCTGCAACCTCTCTCCTCGCCGCGCCCCCACCGTCAGGAAGGCGCCGGCACCGGGCCGCGGCAGAGCGGTTGTGGAGCGAATGCACACACGACCGCCGAACGCGAGCGTGCCGTTAGCGATAATACGTAACATCGAACAACCGCAAAAAGCCGTCGAGTCGTTCGCTAACCCCGCGCAGTACGTGACGTTAATGCGCCGCCTGGGACGGTAAACGCTCCTGACCCTGCGTAATGGCACGGCGTCGCCGGGCTCCACTCTCGCGCACCTCCCCGCCTCTCTCGTCACCTGCAGGTAGTCCCCATTCGGCGGGAACCGCTACCGCCACCGGCCATCTGCGGCGCATACTCGTTCTTGTTCCGTAGTCGCGCCGCGCCGCGCCACGCGCCACCACCTGCGCCCGCCCCATCGCCCGCTGCACATCGCCCCGACGTCACCTGCCGCCCGTCCCATCGCCCGCGGAATTTTTTTAGCCCCCCCAACCGCCCTCCGCCCTACACTCACGGACCATATGTCATCTGATAGGCGGCCCCGTCTGCATAATGGGCGTGTATTCTGGAGCACGGTTTTCCCCCTGTAATGAGATGGCTGGCCAACAACCTCCGGACAAATTACATGTGGGGGTTACTTTACGAGATAATGAAATGTAAGAGTATTCGTAGATATGACAGTGTATGAACATCGCCAACTGCTTGCAGACATTCGAAACGACTTATCATCCCGTCATCTTTAACTGTTCACTTGCTGATGTGTAATGAGTCGAAGTACTGAGAACTCAAAGGAGATATGTTGTTACCACTGCCATTGAGCCCTATGGATAGGCGTAAATTGTCCTAAATTTGTTAAATATTGTTCGCAACGATCCTTAATTAAGTAAATCTCAAAGAACGTCTTAAAATGTCAATAATTGTAATACGAGAGGTATAGGTATTTTATGCTACGAAGATGTATTTAAGAATCAAGTTATTAAATGTAAATACACTGCTCAAGAACAACAAAAAACATATAAAACTGCAATACATAAAATATTTTAACTAAGTCTTCACGAATACTGCAATATATTACTATAGTATATTTATACAGTACAGCAGTTCTGTATAAACCAACAGTATAAAAGAACCTCTCTTTTACATAAGTTTACATGAAAATAAATATTTAAGGTTTAATTAAATATTATAGGTATCCTCTTCCTGGAAACCTTGCGCTCACATCCTGGGTATCTAAGGAAACCTTACGATACCTCTCATATGCCTGGAACTGTAAAGTTTTCTTTTCAATTCTGCGCGCATTGAAAACTAATAATACAAATGCAGTTGCGAACGTACTGTATGGCAGACATGGCACGTGCCATGGGCGCCACTCACAATGGGCGTTATTTATAGTATACTCGCTAAAACAAATAATAACCACTCTCATTTGAAGTATCCTGATAGGGGCACAAATTCGGTTCTTGCCATGTGCGCCCGAACAACTAGATACGCCTCTGTGCAGATGGCAAGAATTATCGCAGAGAAATGGAATGAGAGGCAGGTGAAAACCAGGAAAACCCCACGAAAACCTGCCGCAAACCTTTGTCTTCCACAAATTCCATTGACCGTTCCATTCCGGGCGCGTCAACTAAGATCATTAGTTCCGTAAGTGTAGTGCATGTTTTATCGCAGAAGGTGGCGGTGATCTTCCCCCACTGAATCGCGACATACGTCGGTTTGTGGACATTTTCCCCAATCATGTATTTTCCATCAGCTTGGCACCGCCCCAGCCCGAACGAGCTCGAAGACCCCGACTGGTCTTCCGTCAAGTGTGCTTGTGAACTGCATGTAAGTGTGAGTGTAAGTAAGGGGTGAGGTGAGGACCAGGAAGAAGAAGGAAAAATCGTGCGCGGTCCGTGGCGCGTTTGTTCGGGAACTGCTCCGGCATTCACCTGGTGTTGATGGAAGAAACCGCAGAGTACTCACTCGCTAGAAGTGTGTCACCGACAGCGGGTGAATTCGATCTAGCTGTCTAGCTAGAGTCGAAAATCCTGCCACCGTAGGTCAGAGGTACTGCATTGCCATAAGTTGATGCTCTGAGCACAAATTCCACAGGGATGGGGCGGGCTCTGCAGCCAGGCGCAAGCGGCGGAGGGCGAGAGGTCTGCCCGCTACACCACTCCTCCCCCTCCCCCTCTGCGTGCGTTGGCGATAGAGCGCGTGCTTCTTCGCGTAGGTGGAAAAGAGTCCCCGCCGCCACCGCCGCCCCCGGCCGTCGCGCAGACGCCGCCGGAGCCCATTAAAAAGGTCACAGGTCCGGCAGCAGCGGAGGCGGCGGCGGCATCTTGCTCGCACCCGCGACACACAGCACGCTCCGAACAGGGCTTCCCAAACCGCCATGCCCCATCAGGCCACACGTTTCTTCAGGAGAAAGGGTGGCCCCGAATTACGAGACAAGGATTTACTAATTACTCGGAAATCGTGAAGAATAGTACTTGGATTATGCGTTCCGCCGAACACAGTAAGAGGTACACTAAATGAGACTTTTAACAATGAACTGTACAGAATTAGAATTCAAATAAGAAGTAAATATTAATAATATTATATTGTCATAATGTACAGTTTTCTCACCTGACTACTATTAGGAGGAGAGAAGATCATCCTGGAGAATCATGAACTCCCTAGCTTGCTGCTTTAATCTCCTGGCAGGTATTACTCGCGCAACTTTTCTTAACCGATAGATTGAAGAAATTCAGGTAGAGTGGGGGTATTCGTTACGAAATCGGCCTCTAGATTTTATGAAGCAATTCCAATCTCTGGAGTATCAGTCACGCCTTCGTAACGTTCTCAATAATTTGCGTTCTAACTTTATCAGGAGTTTGAGGTATCTGCTGTGATAGATCCGTACCTGCTTCCGTCATTTCTTTAGATTTTTGGAGAAAATAACCGATAGCAGTTCTCTTCAAAAGAAAATTGTTTATATTTCGCACCAGAGAAGATGTTTGGAATGTTGTCATCAGTGCTCGCTGCGAGCTTTTGCCTTCATCTGTTTATTGTGCCAGAGAGAGGGGCGCAAGGTCATCGTTCAAGCAAAGTTGCGCGAGTAATAGTTGGCTAAGATGCATTGACTGCTTTGCTAATAATGGGTGCACTGTGTTCACGTTTTACAAATCAATATTTTCATAATGTAACCGATTTTATATTTATTGAAGTCATGACCCCGCTCATATCTCGAATTATCGTTGTATGCAACGATATTTCAGAACTTTCATTTCTCCTTTCGGAAGAACGCCGCTTTTTATATTTTTTTAAACAAACTATTATAACTAATTGATAATTGTATAATATTAAAAAGAGGACCACATAACTGGTTGGCATCTGGATCGTGGTTACAAATGCCTTCTCACGTTAAACGAGATTGAAGTAAGGAAACGACTGCATTAATGTGCTCTAAAATGGAAATCTGATGATACAAAGCCAATGTACCGAAATTGTTTTATTGCTGCTACACTATCATCCAAATTGACGTATGTTGCCTGGAGGTTATAGCGCCAGTGAGGCATGACCTCCATGAGTTAGTAATCTCATTCCTGACGAAACAATGTGCAAAATTAAATTAGCACTTATCTCTTCTGACATCTTTATTTCTCTTTCTAATGCCCTCCCTTGGCAATAACTTTCTCCAGTTTTAACTTCTTAACATTTTTACTCTTTAAAATCCGGTTTCTTCTCGTGAAATATACTAATTTACTTTCAAAATCGTTGGTTTCTTTTTCAACACACCCTTTGAACGTTTCAACGCATTCGCCAGTTGTATGTCCTACAAAGCAAGACTGGCTCCGGGCAGGTGAAACAACGCCCTTGACATTACAGCTTTCGATGGCCCGACTTTTGCATACCCCTAATTGTATCCTTGATGGAGATGCAGGATCTAGTGGAATGTACTGTGTCGTAACTGTTGCAAATCAGAAAAAATAATTGTAACGTTCATGGTTTTCTGGACGGTATTCCATTCTACAATAATCGTTGATGAGATTTCAAACTAAGTTTGTTCAATCGAGCATGTTGCACCACATTTAGAATGATTCAGTTCTCAAGGAGAATACATCACAATGACAATACGTGAAATAATGGTTCAGTCGTTAAATAATTGAATTTACACTCAGAATCGTTACGTAACACTAGTAGTGACTACATTCAAGAAGAGAGAAGATCACAGACGTGAAAAACCCTACTAGTAGCAATGTGTTTCGTGTTCACGACATTACCGCCCCCTTTAGACATGACTCGTTTTTCCGCTCCCGTACCCGTCAAGTGTTGCGTCATTGGAGGAGAAAAACAGAAGCGGCGAGAATCAAGTTCCGTTGGCCGTGCTCCCTGCGGGAAGATCGGATGACAGCCAGAGCAGGTGAGCAGGCACCCACGGCCGCCACGGCACGAGAGGGACCACCAGCACCTGTTCCTCCCCCGAAAATCACACTGATACGCACCCGTAATGCTCGGATGCGATACGACTGGCGAGGAGGAGTGCTGTCGATGAGATCTCACGTTCTCGAGAACAAAAAGCCACTACTTCACGCTCGCATCACGGTGTTGGTTCAACTAATAGGACACGGTAACGGTTGAGAGAAGGTATGATATTTGTAGGTGGGATTCAATTGATCGAGAATGACGTTTCGTAAGTTACGTCTTTTACATACGCTGTGCCGTTCATATTTTTAACTAGCATTTTCTTGCAACACGCAAACGGGAGGAAGAAAATTGTAATGATGTAAATGCAATACGAGCCTAAAAACCAAATCATCTCTCTGCTGTTGGTAGAGGAATGGGTATGCGTATGCTCTGTTGTCAATTTAATCATGGGGAAGATGTTTCATATGCATTTATAAGAAAATAGAGCTACTTATTTATAAAAGACGCCGGATCAACCATTAAGAGACATAATTCTATTTCTACGACTGAAATAAACGGTAAAATAATCCAAATTTCAAGAAATAATCGGTGATGTGACTGAAATTATAGCATTGGGAAGCCGCTAAATTAAGTATATATTAATATTATACTAATATTATACGAAGCGGCTCAAAATTAGAGAGTCAGTGCAGATCAGTTCTTAAGAATGTCCATGATTCGCGATGTCATTGCGAGTACAATGCGATCGAGATA